GAGCAGTGGATTTCTTGATGGTGTGTTTGTTTTTATAGAAATTTGAATTTCGATCAAATTCCTCATTTGGATGTACAAAAATTTATGAAAAATTATTTTTTATTACATTTTATTTATAATCTCAAAAAAATTTTATATCCTAATCATTTGAAATTTCAATCATTTTAAATTCTTTATTCTCTTTGTGTTTTTATTATTAACACATTTATAACTCTCATATTTTGTCTTATCTCTCATCAGTTGAAAATTACATATGCCAAATTTTAAATTTAAGATTTGAAATGTGAGAATTTAAATATAAAATTTAAGTGCAAATGCTATCTTATGATATTGGTATATAAGGGATTTTAGTACTATGCTTTTATCACGGACTTTCCTTATGTGTTACTCAACTTTCAAGATTGAGATATAGTTTAGCTTGAAGGAGACTGCATGTATTTTATTTTTTTTTAACTCTTGGGTTTATTTACACTATTTTATATCAATTAAACTTTTACTCACTATTTTAAAGGCTGAACTAGATGATGAATTAAAAATGTCAGTGGGTCACATATTTTATAGTTCAGCATATTAAATTAGTGATCGAACATGTGACATAATGATTAAATAAAAAATAATATTTATATACATGTATAAATAACACATAAAAAATTAACAATATCATTCCCGGTTAAAAGTTGTTCATTTATAACATATTATATTTTAATTTTCTTATTTTTGTCACATATTTTATTCATCTTATTTGTTCTTTAAAATAAATGAGTTTTAAATTTTCTCTACACTTTCATTGATATAATGAATAAATAACTTATGTACTCAAGATTTTATTATAATAACTCATAAGTGATTTGACATTAATATTTTTAAATTGAATAAAAATTATTACTAAAATAAGAGTAAAAAAGAAAAAATATAAACCAAAACAATCCAATTATTTTGGGTCTCGGGCTTTTCTTTCAATCTTCAAGAACCATCTAAGTTAAACCAGACTAACCCAAGTCAATTAACAAAACATGCCAAATAATTGAATCAGGCCGTTTTATTCTCTAGGCAATGATCTAACCGGTTGACTATTTTAATCAATCTAGGTATAAAAATAATAATTCTAGTTATGTATATAATGTGGATATCATGTGCCACGCGCATCGTATAATCTCACCCTAAGAAATAGGTAATATATAATGAGAGGTGAAAAATCCTTTACAACACATAGCATGACGATGACTACTATTAGAGGCCACACATGTCTTAAATAATTATGGTGCTTAAAAAATCATAACTTAGTGGATCAAATTATTAAATTAATTTAACAATTGACCAAGTGATAGTTATTAATTAATTAAGTCAACTTAATAGCCCAAAGGATCAAAGTAATACATTAGTAATGGCTATGACTACTATTACAATTGTAAGAGCCAATATTTTGGAATTTAAATAAGCATTGCCAGGCAAAAATCACCCAAGATCCTTTAGCATAGTCCTTATTGATTTAGTCCATTGTTTTATTTTCTTTATAATGAAAAATTTTGTGATCGTTATTCTAATAATTGTTGCGCCAACTAAAATTCATTATAATATAATAATAGTGATTAGAAGTTTTCATGAACAAGTCAACGAAAATTGATGTAAGTAATAGTGACTTTTGTTACGTAATATCTGCTATTGGTGGGGTTTAATTCTTGTGCTTACAAGAAAAAAAAAAAATCAAGGACAAGTTATTATTATGATCGACCTTTTGCCTTTGTCTAGGCACACCGGCCATGCTTCTTCTTCCTTTTTTTTTTTTTTTTTCAAAAGGTCCAAAGGATATAGGCCTGAGTGCAATTAGTTTAAAGGCTTTTTAAGGTTTGCTCATGACAAAATCAGTTAATAAAATGCTATTTTTAAAATCAATGGGACACGGAAGAGGTTGATTTCTCATAATATAAAAAATTAATATTTAAATTTTTATTTAGAGAGGTATCTGCATTTAATTTTTAATAGTATCTTAAACATCATTGTTTTCAATAAAAAAAATACTTGTGATAATTAAACAAATAAGTTTTCCTAATTTAAAAAGTATTTTTGGAGATTTTCAAAGGTAAAAGTTGTTTGGTTATTTTTTGAAAAAAACCAAAGCCCATTTAAAAATCTGTGAAATGTAATTTTTTCATTACGATAATGATAAAATTATAAAATTTAATTTTACTATATTTGTTTTTAATCAAATAACTAATATTAATCAACAGTATATAAATATATATAAGGAAAATGATAGAAAAATTCATTTAAATTATATAAATGACAGATTGATCTCATAAAATAGCATAATTCTCCTGGAGTCTTATAGGATGTTTCTATCATTAGGGAATTAAAGAAAATGACCAAATTACCCTCAAATAAAACAAAAATCTTAAACCTCAATACAGAGTCATTTTCACACGTTCTTGCCTCTACTTCATCTTCTTGTTCTCCTCTTCTTTGTGCTCTTCTTCTAGTTCGTGTTCGTCTCCTCCTCCTTCTCCTTATCACCTGTCTTATTTCTTTTTGAGTTTTTATACATGGGTGATTTGTTTTGTTAAGCTATTGTACGTGGGTAGATGTAAGCAATCATTCTTCCTCTATTAGCTGTGCTATATGTGGGTAAATTTTCTCTCTTTCTTAAAAATTTCTCCTCTCATATGTGATAGTTGAAGTTGATGTGAGTTAATATACGTAAATAATTGATCTTCATTTTCTCTTCATGATTGAAGTCTTCATTTTTTTGGATAAATGATAAATGATATATAATTTTTAGTTATGTTATAAATGCATAAATCAAAGTAGTGAATGACCAATACAAAGTTATGAATATAAAAAGAATAGTTATTGTTGGATAAAACATAACATATATGTGATTATGATACTTGGGAAATAGATATAATAATAAATGGCTATTTCATTGTTTCATTAGCATGGGAAATAGCTTCTTTTGTTTTTAGTTTTGAAAAAAAAAATTATTTTATTATTTTCACATAGGGGGACATTTTGTAAAAAAATATTGAAAGTAAAATATAATATAATAAGGGACTGTGAGGATAAAAATGATAAGAGAAGGGATAACATTAGAAGATTCAACCCTGCATATATTTTTTGTCAAAAGGGTTGTAGGGTATTTTTAAGCAAGTTGTAGATTATGTAACTGATAACAAGACCTTAGATAATTGTCACTTTCTAATTGTAGATTATATAACTGATAACAAGATCTTAGATAATTGTCACTTTCTAATGTTTTCTTGTTATTTAAATTAAAGAAAGTTGTTATTTTTTAGATTAGAGTGGTAATTTATTTTTGCTAATTTAGTCAATTTACAGGGGTACTGATAAATTACAATTTCTTATTGCATTGTTGCGAATTTGGGGAAAAAAGTTGTTAACATATTAATAAAAGTTGTGAATAAAAAGTTATGAATTTTTAACACCCGATGCATATCAGGACTCGTATATGCGGAGTTGTGAATGAATATTGAATTGTTACAAATTAAAAAAAATTGTTAATATAGGAACAAAGTTATGAATGGAAGGTTGAAAATTTTCAATACTTGATATATATCAAGACCTGCAGATACGAAATTGCAAATGACTATTGAATTATTACGAATTTAAAAAAAATTATTAATATATAAACAAAATTTGTGAATGAAAAGTCACGAATTTTCAACACTTGATACATATCAAGACCTGTAGATCAGGACTTGCAAATGGCTATTCACTTGTTGGGAATTTAGAAAAGGTTGTTAATATATGAATAAAAATTGTAAATGGAAAGTTACAAATTTTTTACATTTAATGTATATCAGGACTTACAGATCAAGACTTACGAATAGCTATTAAACTATTGCAAATTTAGAAATAAAAATTATTAATATATGAACAAAAGTTGTGAATGAAAAGTTATAAATTTTTTAAATTGGAATAAAGGGGCAAAAGTATCATTTTCTATAATTCCCTAATGACAAAAAAATCTCTTAAAACTTCGAAAAAATTATGTCATTTTGTGAAACTAATATGTTATTTATATAAGTTAAATGAAATTTTCTGTCATATTCTCTATATATATATATATATATATATCAAACTTAGATTCTTGAAGGAAAAATTAATTATTTAATTTCTGTAATTTTAACCCAATTGTTACTTAATTTTTAAACTTTGATCTATAACTCAATTATAATTTAATTCCTAAATTTTAACTCTTACAATTCAATTTTTATAACTTTAAATCTTTAACCATTTAAAATATTAGTTGCTATATTTTAAAATATAAAATTTTAAAAAATTATTTAAAAATTTTAATCTTCATAATCTTTGAAAAGATTAAAAGAGTTTTAGTAATTTAAAATATTAGTAATAAATTTTAACATAATTTTAATCTCGATAATTTTATTTTTTAAAAATATAGAGACCTATATCCAATATTTTAAATGATTAAAATTATAAAGACTAAGTTATAATAGTTAAAATTTAGAGATTGAATTACAATCGAGTTAAAATAAAAAAAATTAAATTATAGTGAGTCAAAATTTAAAGATTGAGTTACAACTGAATTAAAATTATTAAGACCAAATAATTAATTTTTTTATTTTAGAAAGATAATTATTTTCTTCAAATTTACAATTTTCATATACATCTATCATCCTCTCACTAATAATATTAACATAAATGAATTTGTTTCATTTTATTGAAAGGCCTTAATAAATCAAAATTATTGTCATTCAATTTTTAAAAAAATAATTGAGTTTTAATATATCTAGTCTATTCTCCTCCAACAAACTACGATGGAATTTTCATACATTTTATTTTTGTCTGGCCAAAAAACAGCTGAATTAAAATTCATGTTTGTATCATTACCAAAAAAAATTATGCTTATAATTATTTTTTAAAATTTTAAATTTAAGTAGGTAATTATTTTTTAAAATTTAATTTAAATAACGTAAATTTTAGTTTTTGACTACTTTTTTCCACGGGATTTGTCCCGCAAGCCAAAAACGTTCCAACGGACATTCACTAACTCAGCCGGAGAAACTTATCGGCGATGGAGGGAGAGGGAAGCGGCGCCGTCGCTAAAGTTGACGCGGGATCAAGAAACAGCTTCGTTGAGCTCAATGGGGACAAGGGGGTGAACGCTGCGGAAGAGCAAGAGCAAGACGGAGTTGAAGATGTGCCAGAAGAGGAGGATGGAGAAGACATGGATGCAGGTGAAGAAGAATACGTCGAAGACGAGGGGGAATATACTTTCAGGTTCGAAGATGGGATCAATCCTTTGGATTTTGTGGAGAATAATGATTCTGAGGTCCAGAGTTATCAGCAATTGGAGCGCCTTGAGAATGAAGCCCTTGCTGATAAAAAGCGAAAAGCAGTTGAAGACTTGCACCAGTAATTCAACTTCTATTCATTCATCACTCCTTCTTCTTCTTCTTCTTCTTTGCCTAAGCAATTCTCTTTTGTGAGAATGATTTATAGGAACCTAAAGACTCTATAATACAATTCAATAACGCTACAAAATATCTTAAAAATCAAATTTTCTTGAGTTAGTCTGATAATGTTGTAAAAATGATTTATTACTTTAGGACCCTAAATAGTGTCTTAGAGAAATGCCAGCGTTTACTTTAGAAAGCAAAGGTGATAATTTAAGCTTCTTAAAAGGAATTCTGATTTTTAATGTTCTTTTCTGATATCATTAGATATTAAGATTCCTATCTGTCATTTCATCCTTCTGCTTTTACAGCTGTCCAATTCATCCAGATTAGAACATAGCATGGGTCCTGTTCGTGTGTTTGATGCCATTGCCCAAATTGTTCAATCAACTGTCTTTCAACTTCATCTTCATAATTGTGAGCCCAGCTTACTGTGTTTTTAATTGTACCTTCTCCTCATTGTGCTATTATTCTGTGCTTTATGCTTGAAGTAGATTTAATTTGACCATGTGTTATTCTGCTAATTTCAAAAATGAATAACGAATGAAATAAGTATTTCGTTAGAAGAATTTCATTAACTTTTGGTGTCTTTTTTTTAAAAGAAAAAGAAAAAGAAGAATTTCATTAAGTCAAAGAGTTGGGATGCAAATAGGTATTTCATTAGAAGTATGACGTGTATTTGTTAATGTCTCTAAAAGCAGTGATGGGCCTTCTTTCAAGAAGGTGAGGGAAGAGGATATTTCAGGGGCTAGTATGGAGGAGATAATGGAGGCACTGAATTTTGGTGTTCGCAGGAAGTCTAGAAAGGTACAATGTACATGTGATTAGGCATGCTCATGCAGCATTACAATAGAGCGACTACATTCTGTGACAATACATCTCTACATGAGAATATGTTAGGGAAAACCTTTTGTAACTCTGAATAGAGAATTGATCATAAATTCTTGAAACACTGTGCTGTCCAGATTGTGCAGTATAATTTGCTTACACATGCAAAGAGCATTAAAAAAAAAAAAAGCTATAGTTGGACATTAGAGCCAAAGTTATCCCCTGCATCCTGGTGAAGAGTTGCTATGCGTTTTCTTAGCCTATGAACATTAGTATCTTGCTTTGAAAAATCTTAGGTTGAGGGTGCAACTAAGAGCATGCAAGTTAGAAAACGAAATTTTTATTAAAAAAACTGGCACAATGTATCTTTTAATGCCCTAGAAAGGATGTTGATGACTGGCTCAACGAGCAAGAATTTTCAGTTATGCATTTGCAACTAACTAGTGATCCATGCTATTAGTAGTTTAATGCAGTTTATTTCTGCTGTGATTTCTTTTGATGTTTGTTGTAGATTCTAGATAAAAAAATTTGAACTGAAACATCTCAGCTTGTGACACCATTTATTCCTCTACCTATTTTCTAGATGCAACCCAAGAAAAGAGGTAGGCGAAAAGGATCAAAGAATAAACTTGATCCTCAGCTAACACGAATGCTGGGTGATGCCACCCTTCACTATGCACGCGAATGTTATGAAGAGGTACTATATTCTGGTTAAGCTTGTTGTAAATTGTAGATTCTTTCCATGACAGAGCAGTCCATATATATATATTCACTCTGCTGACTTTATGCAGGCTATTTCTATATTGCATGAAGTTATCAGGCTGGCACCAAATTTGCCTGATTCATATCACACACTTGGACTTATCTATAGTTCACTTAAGGATTATAAAAAAGCTATGAATTTCTACATGATTGCGGCTCTTTTGACCCCCAAAGATGCATCACTCTGGAAAATGCTTTTTACTTGGTCCATGTAAGAGAGCTCCACATTTTTTCCTCATCATTCTTTGTGTACTTTGATCTTTCTGAACATACTCAACTCTATGTGATTACATTCCCACTGTCTGCAATTGTGAAAGAGGCTTAAATTAGCTCAAGTGAGGTGTGCAATGATATGAATATATAATATGTCTCACATTAATTTTTCTCTTTTTTTTTTATTTGCGAATACATCTTTGCAATGTTTATATATTGTGATTTGTTGTTGTTTCTACTTTAATTGAATTCGTACATGCATTCCAATATCTAATGGCTTTTAAATAAAAAATAGTATTACTTGTCGGGATTGAGAACATTTCAATTGCAGAGAGCAAGGTGACATTGGCCAGGCCAGTTATTGTCTTTCAAAAGCAATAACTGCTGATCCCAAGGACACTACTCTTAGAATTCATCGTGCATCTCTCTATGTTGAGCTCAAAGATTATCAAAAAGCTGCTGAGACATATCTTCAAGTTTATCAACTCTTTCCTGAGAATATTGATGCACTAAAAACTGCAGCTAAGGTATTCCTCTTTCTCTGTTTTTAAGGATCCATGTTCCACTTGACTATGCGGCAATGCTCTTTTCTGTAGATTTTGTGTTAAATATCAATTTTTTCCTTTTTAACAATTTTGTACCAAAAATTTAACATGTCTTTTTCTGATGCTATGTGATTCATTTGCATGCTGGCAGGACTTGTGGCCTTGATGTACCCTTCTGTAAGGGGCTAGGTATTCAGAGAGTTTTTTGGGATAATTATGGCACGGTGCCTCAAATTAGGGTTTAGGAAGATCCCTGTTGGAATATGATCTGAAACCTGATGCAATGAAGCTTGTACTTGATGATGATAAACAACAAATTTAAATGATGACACTGACTTGATTAGTGTTATAGGAGTTTGCAGTAGTAGAATGAGTGAGATTTTCCAATCACAAAAAAAAAAAAAAAATGACAGTAGACAAACATCTAATTATTGGAGTTCTTAATTTGTTGTATCATCTTTACTTAGCTATTTACAAGTTGTGATTAGTTTTAAATACTATCAACTATTTTAGCAAAATGAAAAACATATCCTCAAGGACAAAACCAAATGAGCTAGTTGACTTTTGTAATAGTGGGGATCTCTCGGGGGGCCACTATGAAGAAAACATAAACCTGAAGAAATACACAGCTAGAAATATGTCATTGGTCTCTCATGTCTACTAGATGTTTTTGTTTCTCGTCTAATTTCTGCCATAAGTTCTTATTTAGTTGTTCCTTTCAAACAGCCACTCTTTTGAGGTCACAATTTGGTAATATTATTGAGCAACTGTTCATATAACCTATATCCAATTAAAATTCATGGGGTTGACTGTTGTTATTGATGCAAGTATATGTTGCTTTCTATTTCAGCTCTACCAAAAATGTGGTCAAGCAGAATGTTCAATCCACATTCTTGAAGACTATCTTAAGGGTCAACAGGCCGAAACCAATGAAAGTGTTGTTGATCTGCTAGCTTCCATATACATGGAGACTAAGGCATACGACAAAGCTCTTCAGCATATTGAGCATGCTCAAGCTGTACATTATTCAGGAAAGGAATTGCCGTTGAATTGGAAAATTAAAGCAGGAATCTGTCATATTCATCATGGAAATATGCAGATGGCTCAGGTGTGTCACTTGCTCAGTGGAAGATACATAATTCAGTTGACTTTGTATGTTCTCAAGTACTGTTCATTTTAACTGTACAGGCTTGTTCAATCTGAGGTTGTTTACAGCTTACTGATATTCAAATGATGTTGAGAAGCTAGCTCAAACAAATCCACCTCCTCTATATTTACGCATTTCCCTTGTAGTATATTGCTATATTTTCAACTGGATACTATTATACGAATGCTTTACTGCCATCTTGTGCCTTTATATAATTTGTTTTCAATTGCTAGTGTATATGTGATATGGGCTTGATTATTAGGCCTGGCTTAGTACTGTTCACTCTGTATCCTAGTCATGTGCCATCTATTTCTGCAGCACGATAAGGCTGTAAGGTTGGATTAACAATTGACTATTGTACAAGCACCAACATGAGAAGTGGGACAGGATTGCTAATTTGTCCTCCCTATGGTGCTTAGCTTGTCACTTTTTCAAGGGAAGCGTACATGTTTAATTTTAAATAGATTGGATTGGCAAGTAAAACTTTGTTGAATCTATCATGAATATGGACAATAGACGTTATAATGTTAATGCTAGGTTGTTGCCCGTAAGTAACGTGCTGCATGGCTCGAGTACAGTGATAAGTGAGTTAGAGCCGCTGCATCGGCGCCCGGATGTTGTGTTAAATGAGCAAGGGCTATTGCGTCATTCTGGACGCACGCGGCTAAAGAAGTTAGTCTATGAGAGCAAAATTAAATTTGGTACTTGGAATGTTGGGACATTGAATTGTAAATCTGTAAAGGTTGTAGGGGTTATGATTCAAAGGAAAATCAATATCCTTTGCCTGTAAGAAACAAAATGGCGTGGAGAAGAAGCTAAGGATATTCAAGGTTTTAAACTTTTGTATACAGGAAAAGTAAGTGCACGCAATGGAGTAGGCATCATTATAGATAAGGAGTGGAAGAAGAACGTTGTAGAAGTTAGCAGAATTGGAGACAGAATTATTTCCTTAAAAATGATAATTGGACGTGAGACTGTTAATATTGTTAGCGCTTATGCGCCGCAAGTCGGGACAGAAGCCAGTCTTAAGGAATTATTTTGGGAGGATCTGGAGGGGTTGATTCGACACATACCACAGAGTGAAAAGATTTTTATTGGATGAGACTTTAATAGGCATGTTGGGAGGGAAGCTGGTTAGTATGCGAGGGTGCATGGTGGTTTTGGTTTTAGAGAGCTAAACAATGAAGGACAAATTCTTTTTGATTTCTCATTGGCGTATGATTTTAAGATTGCCAACACTTGTTTCAAGAAGAGAGATGAGCATCTCATCACTTACAAAAGTGGAGCCTCAAGGTCACAGATTGATTTTCTTTTGGTTAGGAACATAGATAGAAGACTTTGTAAAAATTGCAAAGTGATCCCCGGAGATGCTGTAACGACACAACATAGGGTCCTAGTCCTTGATGTGTGTATTATGAGTAAAATCCAAAAACGTCGACAAGTAGTAGCACCAAGAATTAGGTGGTGGCAATTAAAAGGTGAAAAGCAAGATATTTTCAAGCAAAATCTTTTGGATAAAGGAATTTGGGAATTTCAGGAAAATGCTAACATCATGTGGGAGGATATGGCTAAAAAGATACGGGAGGTTGCAAAAGTAGTTTTGGGAGAATCAAAAGGTTCTGGTCCGAGAGATAAGGAGTCTTGGTGGTGGAATAATAGTGTACAAGACAAAATCAAGTATAAGAAGAACTGTTTTAAAGCCATATATTTGTGTAACAATGAGAAAAATTGGGAGAGGTACCATATGGCTAAGAAGGAAACTAAGAGAGCTGTGGATGAAGCTTGTTCTAAAGCTTTTAAAGAATTTTATAAGAGCCTTGAGACAAAGGAATGAGAGCGAAATATTTATAAGATTGCCAAGAGTAGGGAAAGAAAATTAAGAGATCTAGAACAGGTAAGGTGTATTAAGGATGAAGAGGGAAGAACTTTAGTTACAGATGATGAAATTAAAAATAGATGGGAGACTTATTTTTCTAAACTTTTCAATGATGGAGAGGGTTCATCTAGTAACTTGGAGGATTTAGTAACTGGTGAAGGAGAACAAAATTTGTCATTTTATCGAATAATACGTGATAAGGAGGTAAAGGAAGCTCTTAAGAAAATGGCAAATGGTAGAGCCAACGGATCTGATTGTATATCTATTGAAGCGTGGAAATGTTTAGGTGAAGAAGGGGTGAGATGGTTAACTAAATTATTTAATGTGATTTTACGGTCCAAAAAAATGCCTGATGAGTGGAGGAGAAGTACATTAATTCTTATTTATAAAAATAAAGGAGATATTCAGAATTGTACTAACTATAGAGGGATTAAACTCATGAGCCACACAATGAAATTGTGGGAGAAAGTAATTAAGCACAGGTTGAGATTGGAGACAAGTATTTCTGAGAATCAGTTTGGTTTTATGCCAGGTAGATCAACTATAGAGGCGATTTATTTACTAAGGGGATTAATGGAAAAGTATCGTTGTAAAGATAAAGATCTACATATGGTTTTTATTGATTTGGAAAAAGCTTATGACCGTATATCAAGAGAAGTGCTTTGGAAAGCGTTAGAAAAAAGGGAGTATGGATTGCTTATATTAAAGCCATACAAGATATGTATGAGGGGGTAAAAACTAGTATAAGAACGCCTAGTGGTCAAACAAAGGATTTTCCTATAAAGATTGGACTACATCAGGGATCATCTCTGAGTCTTTATTTGTTCAACTTGATCTTAAATGTTTTGACGAAACATATTTAAGGGGAAATTCCGAAATGTATGCTCTTCGCGGATGATATAGTTCTTATAGCAGAGACAAGAGAAGAGGTTAATTGCAAACTTGATTTATGGAGGAGGATATTGGAGTCGAAAGGTTTTCGTCTGAGTAGAAGTAAGACGGAATATTTATATTGTAAATTTGGTAAAGGACTATTTGACAATAATTTGGAAGTGAAATTGGGAGATCAAATTATAGCTCAAGTGAAAAAGTTTAGATATTTGAGAGCCATTATTGAAAATGATGGCGAAATCAGTGGAGATATTTCACATAGAATTCAAACTGGGTGGTTTAATCGAAGAAAAGCTAAAGGAGTTATTTGCGACCGTAAGGTGCCTAATAAACTTAAAGGAAAGTTTTATCGCATTGCTATCAGACCGGCAATGTTATATAGTAGTGAATGTTGGGCTCTAACGGGACAGCAAGAGCATAAAATTGGAGTAGCAGAGATGAGAATGTTACGATGGATGTGCGGATATACACGTAAAGATAAAATTCGAAATGAGCACGTACGCGAAAAAGTGAGGGTGGCACCTATTGAGGAAAAAATGGTAGAAAATCGGTTGAGATGGTTTGGGCATGTACAAAGAAGACTAAGGGAGGCACTAGTGAGAAGAGTAGAACATATAACTTTGAGTCCGATTAAGAGAGGTAGAGGAAGGCCTAAGAGAACACTCTTGAAAGTTATTGAACGCGATCTCTTAACTAATAATATTCTTAAAAGCTTGGTAAATGGTAGAACACAATGGCGTCTTGCAATCCATGTAGCCGACCCCACCTAGTGGGATAAAGGCTTGTTGTTGTTTGTTGTTGTTGTTGTTGTTGTTGTTGTTGGATTGGCAAGTAATGTTGTGCTGATTTGCCTTTGTTATCGAGAAATTTCTTTTTGCCTTTTTTTCATATTAGCATTAAGTGGGCTTCACTCAGGTTAAGTCCCCTCACTGGGCAATCTTTAGAACATATTCTCCCACGTGGGCTAGTGTATGTAGTGTTTTGTTCCTAAAGTGCTCTAGAAAATCATTAATGTAGGTTGATATGGATAGATAACATCATGGAGGGATTTCTGCAGTTTCCTTGTTTTGCTATTTTTCACATTCTATACAAGACTTCTTGCATCTTGGCTTCCTTATTCTGTTATGTTAAACAAAGAACGTCCTATTTGACTATGTACTCCTGCATGCGGAACTTTCTGTGCTTTTGTGCTGGTGTCTTTCATAACCTTTTTTTTTTAAAGCAGGGTTTGATATCTTATTTAAAAAAAAAATTATTTGTCGTTAATTTCAGTTTTTAAATGATGGAAGTATATCAAATTTTATGTTTATTTTTTGTCATTTGTATTTATATTGAAGTTCTCAATGTGATTTACAGGTTCTTTTCAATGATTTGAAACCAGAGAATGCCACCGAGCATTCTGACTTGGTTACTGATATTGCAGATTCATTGATGGCTCTTGAGCATTACAACTATGCATTGAGTTATTATCTGATGCTGGAAGCAAAATGGGGAAGTAAAAATGTATGGTAACTCGTTCCTATTTATTGCATTTCTCTTGCATTTTCTTTTTGGAATTTTGATACTGATAGTTTGTATGAGCATTTGATTGAATCATTGCCAATTATACTGACAGTCAGAAAAATGTTATTGAACTGTTCATTTGAACTTTTTACGACTGTTACTATTCTGTTTTTACAAATTAATTTTGGACTGTCATTTCAATTTGTCGTCCCACTCAATTTTTGATATAGAATGTAAAAAGCATACTGCCAAAAAAAAAAAGAAGAAGAATGTAAAAAGCAAGCTACAACTTGTTACTTTAAAAGTACTGACGGTGGCACCATTTAAGCTAGAGACTAGTTTTTGGCTGAAGCTTTCTATACTTTCCTAGTTACTTTGTTCATTATGCACATGCCTTGGCTATTTGTGGCTGTGGGGGTTGGACTTTTTCTTCTTTTCTTTCTTTCTTTCTTTCTTTCTTTCAGGTTTTGAGAGGGGTGTGCTCTAAAGAAATGAGTGCTATTTTGAGAATTGATGATGGCGCAGTAGTGCTGTATCATTGGCTAATTATTATTTGAAATTAATAAAATGGTTTCAATTGTTTTTCTTTGCTCATTTTGGTGGTCATAAATCATGATAGTTTTTATTTTTTTAAATCCAGTTTAATGATATGTTCTCTCGGTATATCATCATTGAATATAAGTCTAATAGAATCTGATGCCTATGGCAAATTTTTCTTGCAGGGTCTCCTGAATCTGAAAATTGCGAGATGTTTTCTGTCCTTCAAAGAAAGATTACGAGCAATTGAATTTTTCTACAAAGGCAGGTTCACTTTTTTAATTGTTTTTGCTTTTATGCATAGAATGGTAGATAGAGTGAAGTATTATATTGTCCTTTAGTGAAAGAGCGAGGGTCAAGTTGGATCAACTTCCACATAACTAATGTGGAGGGTTAGCATTCCCCATAGATTCATGTGTATGTATTTGTGTTTTCTTTATCATGGCTTCCCAAAGTATTTTCTCTGCTATTCTTCACATTATTTCAAGTTTCAAAACTTTTTTCTCTTAATATCAGTATTCGGTTGACAGAAAGTAATCAATAAGTTGATTCATGTGCTCTTACATGTGTGTCAAAATGTCAATACACAAGTATCTATTGCTTGCATGTGTGTGTTTTCCTATTTTTGGATTAAAACATTTGAGTTAGTGAGATCATGTGTGTGAGCCAGTGTTTTTTCCCTCCTGTTCCTTTATTCTACTGTTTGTGAGCTGCAATCACAGTGTTATTAATCCGTGTTTTATAGAATGTTTTCATTACTTGCTTCCTTTATCCTACTTGTTATATATTTCCTATCCTTCAAAACACTAAATTATTAGGTACTCATAGTAACTTTAACTATCCTAATATCCCTAGTTTGGCATGTATTTTTTTTTTCCCAATCTATTGTACTTTATTTTTTCTTTTATATTTATGTGGGCTGGGTGCAAACTATGCTTAAGCTGCAGTGCTATTCAATGATTGTATCCCTTTGACGCTTGCTACCATAATATGGACATAATACTAAGTATTAACTGCTGTGTTATTTGCTGCACGGACAACTCTTTTCTACCCATTATATTCAGTTAAAATATTATCATATTCATTTGCTAATCAAATTCTTGTTTCAGCCCTGGAAACACTAGAAGATGATGTTGATGCACGGATAACTTTGTCTTCTCTCCTACTCGAAGAAGGAAAAATAGATGAAGCAATTTTGGTGCTGGTCCCTCCAAAGGACTCTGGTACATTCCAAAATTTTGTTCTTCCTCATGATCTTAGTTGGTTCAGGTTGTTCACCAAAAAAAGAAAAAAAGGCTTATCCTGCAGATTCTAATGTGAAATTTACTTGCAGATTCTGGTGAAGAACGTTCTGATAAATCAAATAGATGGTGGGTCAATGAAAAAGTTAAATTGAAGCTCTCCAAAATATATTGGGACAAAGGGATGCTTGGAAATTTTGTGGATACGATATTCCCTCTGATACGTAAATCATTGTACATTGGGAATCTCCAACACTCGGTAAAATTTTTTGAAGGCTAAATTTTGAGAATCTTTCTTTCCTATCATAGGTGGTAAAACATGCATGCGTTAACAACCTTCCATGCATATATGTTGAGTCAACAGCTTGAGCTTGCTTTTAAATTGAAGCGTTGACAGACTAACTGAAATGGAAGATGTCAAAATTGTGTCGTTGGTTCGTAGAGTTCAGTGGTTGACAGTCACTCTGTAGCATAATCTTTTTTTTTTCCCCCTTTAACTTTGCTAGTGGTTGAAAGTTGAAAGCTGTGTGGGTAACCCCACTAAAAAAGAGAAAAGCACGTTAGTAGAGTAATCTTAAAACAATTTAGGAACAAGCTTGTGTTTTGGTTTTAAAAAAAATGAACTGGAGCTTTATCTTCCATTTTTCTGTGCTTTTCAGGTTAAATGTGTCAGGGATATGTTTTTCTAACAGAGATGCAATATTTGCATAGGGTTCCCTCAAATGATCATTATATCAATACTTATATCTATATAGGCTTCTGATCTGTTTTCAGTTTTATATAAGCCATCATTGGTTGTTACAGGGAAAGACAAAAAAGCGGCTCTCCAAAAAAGATCTGGTTGAAAGGGTTAAAGTATTAGATGATCAGGATACGGACAATGTATTTCGAGGATTCAGGCCAATAGCTCTTCCATCAGATCTGTGAGTATTGGATGCTGAAATTTTGTGGGAATCATGTGATTAAGGGTCCATTATGAGCTCTTTCATTTTTTTAAACAAATTATCCCTTGTTTATTACATGGTAGTTTAGCTTCGTTTTTAACTTATTTATTTCCTTTTTTATTTTCATGTATCATGCTATCTTTATTGTGTATTTATTTCCTTGTTTTCCTCCCTGATTTATGAAATTGGTTGAATGATTCCTGTAGTTAACTGTTTCCTTTACATGTACGACTCTTATTTTTTCTTCCTTTCTTTTCTTTTGTTTTTTTTTTTGGGGGGGGGGGACCGGGAGGTGTGTCAAAAAATACAGTTGAATCAGAACAGACTTCTTAACGCCAAAATTCTACGTGATATATCTAAGCCTATGGCCAAAATATGACCGCCCAATATGAGAAGGCAGAAGCTTCTCATGAGGTTGCTTGCTGCTCAGAACAGCTTCCAATCATTGACATAAAGAAGGGAGACATGCATCCCTTTTATTCAGTAGACTAACATTCACCAAATCCCACAATTTGACTGCCAGTTGCACAAGTGTCAAGAAGCCATGTTACCACTGTCTTCATCTGGTCTGTGCATGATGCACTGCTCTCCTGTTCTGCTTGCCCAAAACAAGTGGACTCAATGCCCTCTAATGATATGTGGTGTTTGTTAGACAATCATAATACCGTAGATGAAACTTAAAAAATAATAAAGAACACTTTTGGTGGTTCAATGTAAAAAAAGGGCAAAAGGTAAACAAAACTTTTGTTGGTGGGACCTATGTATTAGTGGTTGATGAAAACCATCCGTCTGTGGTTAACCCACAAATAAATAAATTGGGGGCTTAAAATTATTTGTTGTTGGTTAACAATAGAATCATCTGTTAGTTATTAACAAAAAACATTCCATGGTGGTTAACTAATTCACTACCATTGCAGACATACATTAGACAAATAATCAGGAAGGAATTGGATCCAATAGGCAGTTTACCTTAGTTTTCATAATACTCCAGATTATATGAATCATCTGCAAATAGTGCCTTCCAATAGCCCATTAAATGATACCGCTTTTGATTGATATGTTTATTATTCCCCTCCATGAGTCAGTTGTAGAATACACAACAAATATTGTCCACATTACTTCAAAAAACAAAAAAGAAAAGAAAAAAAGAACAAAAAGAAAAAAGAAAACAGCGACGACAACAAAAGCTTTGCACTTTAAATGGAGTTGGGGTATATGGATTACATGACGCCATTATGCTTTGCCTGAAACCAACTCTTCCAATAAGCCATTAACTAGGAGATCTTGATGAATGACTTCTTTAACTGCATATTTGGTACACATAAAAGTGTTTTCTAGAAAGGAAATGGGAAATGGACCTAGAAAGAAAATGGGATAGGTGTATTTCTCGTTTCTTTTCTAAAAACCATTCTTGATGCCTCTCTACCTTTTTTCATAGGACTGAAGACTATGTGCTCACTCCTTACTGGCATCTCTAATGGTCTTCTTTGCACATGACAAAATGATCTTAAATGATTTTCTACCAGTTAAAAGAAAAGAAAAGAAAAAAAATCAGCAAAATTTGTATTTGGTATTTTTATAGATTTTCTTGCTTGGATTTTCCCTTGCTGTATTGTTACTAGTTAAAAATGAATGTCTCTTGTTATATCAAATTAGGCTGAAAGCTTCCAGGGCCAAAAAGAAGCTACAGGAGAAGGCAATTCTGAAAGAGAAAAGGAAAGCCGAGGCATTGGCTGCTGGAATTGATTGGATAAGTGATGAGTCAGATGATGAGCCTGGGGTAATTTTTCATATTAAATATCAACTCTCTTTCGAAGAGAAAATGTTTAGGTGATGATATCACTGAATATTGCTCTATGCTGACTTTCTTTCCTGTATACTGCAGTATGTCTCTCAAAAGCTAAGAAACGTCCTTTGTGCAATTTTCTCAAAGACGAAGAACATCATCAGATAATTATTGATGTCAGCACTTCTATCTCTAGTTTTAGGCCCCACTACTCCCATTTCCTTTGTTTTATATGATCCATTAATATGATTTACAGTTATGCAAGGCATTGGCGACCTTGCAAAGGTACTGGGAAGCATTGGAGATTGTTAATCTCACTCTAAGGCTGGCCCACAATGTACTGTCTGCTGAAAAGAAAGAGGAGCTTCGATCTCTTGGAGCTCGTGAGTCCTGAAACCTGACAGACTTTTATACTTTTGGATTTTTTTTTTCAATTCAAACTTTTCTCTCCTGCCCAGAAAATGCAGGAGGAACTTTTTCCTGCTTGTTTGTCTCCCAATCTTGAGTTTTAGATATTTCCGCTGTTGTTCTAAAGAAGAAATGTGTAACTGGCTCATAAAACGAACTTATCTTTTTTTTTTTTTTTGGCAGAAATGGCGTACAACACTACTGATCCTAAGCACGGTTTTGACTGTGTTAAAAATATTGTTCAGCAACATCCTTACAGTTTTGCTGCTTGGAATTGCTATTACAAGGTTACCTCAAGGTAATCATTTGATTTCTTTGTCAACGTTATGTCAATTGCTTAATACTTAACATTGGTTTGTTTTAGTAGATATCATTTCTTTATGTTCTCTGCCTTTCTTCTCTAGTCACAACTATCAGGTGGAACCGTGGAAGTATCAGGTGGATCTTTGAAAGCACCCTAGAAATGGAAGTTTCCTTCTGCAGATATAATTAATTTGTAATACTCCCTTTGGTCTTTTTATAAGAGACGTTTAGCAACTTTCACACTTCAATAACAACAAGCCTTATCCCATTAGGTAGGGTTAGTTATATGGATTGCACGATGTCATTGTGCATTATTAACAACGAAATAACAACCTCACATAGATTAAGAAAAATGACTAAAATTAATTCCTCTCAGTAAATACATCCATATTTTCAATTTTTTCTAAAATTACCATTCTTCAATAAAGTTTATTAAATTTGTGTAGTCTTGTCTCTCTCTCTACATAATTAAGGATACTTAGGGAAAACAAAAAATTAATGCTTCTAGAAATTTGTCTCTCAAGAACAGGCGAAATCTTATGCCTGGTGAAAAAATTGGTTCCCACTGAACCCTGGAGTTTTCTTGGTAAAATGTTAGTTAGGCTTCCTAATCTTTCTTAAAATTTTTATTTGGCCCAGAAGTGGGACCTATATTTATGTCCTAGAGAAAATTAAGGCCTAGATCTTTATAATTGAAGTGTAGAAAGCTGTTACTGTTCATAAAGTCAACATTAGCTCTGCTTGGGCTCGTGCTGTTTTCCTTTTAAAATATAGATTTCAATTCTTGTTCTTAAAAAAAAAAAAAAACTATTGATCGGCTGTGATGGAGAAATAAGGTAATTTATTCATTATTGTTGATTAAGTTTTTTCCTGTGCAAGGCACAAGACAAACTTTAGTTTCTTTATAATTTATTTGATGTCTGCTCTATGATAGATTGGAGAATCGAGATTCAGGCATTCCAAATTTTTACGTCATATGCAAGG